AGTATAGGACTATATATTTTTATTTTCCAATGTAAGACTATTGGTCATTATCTATTAGTTATTATTCAACTAAATGTCAAGCATCATTTGGACATTATTCTTCTCACTAGTCATTATTAAGTCATATTTATGTAATAAAAAAGTTTAAGTCTTACGTTGGAAAAAATGAATTATTTTTTAGTCCTATTTAGTGCAAATTTCATATATATATATATATATATATATATATATCTTCTATATTATATAAATGAGAAAGAGAGTTAGGTACCCCTTATTTTTATGCACTTTTTCCATCCAAAAAAGTTGTACATTATGCTTTGGATGTTGTACACTATTATTTATTTCCAACATTGCCATTACACCGTTACTAGGATGTTTCATTCAGAATTCAAGTCACATTTATATTTCCAAATTGCTATTAATTACTTTATAAGTGATATTGATTAAATGCTTTTATGTTTTTTTGTTATCTACAATGTTGAGAGTTTTCTTTGAAGAATGTTAGATTATTTTTCATTATTAATTTCTAATAAAATATATTGTGTGTGTGTATGGGATAAGAATTATGTAGGTATTTTTTTCAATTTATTAGGTACAACTCAAGAATTTGGTAGACCATTCTATTGCTAATTACAAAATAATTCGAACAACATTCTTTAGGTCATTATAATTTAGTTCATCAATTTTTGAATGCAATATCTTTCAATCCAAAAATTCCAATATGGTTGAACAAAATTATCAATACTTTTATAAATTATTTTTGGGATGTGGTGACTCTTTATTTGTCAAATGATTCAAAATGACTTTCATTTACCATGTGCTCAATTCTAACTATTTTTTTGGTTTTATAATTTAATTTTTAAAATAATTTTATAAGAATGGAATGTTTTAATTTAGGTAGAAGTATTTTCATTTAAGTTGATTTTGAAAAAAATAGTGTTTTTTTGGATTCTCGAAAAACTAGGCGGTAGAGAGTTTTAATTTGTCCCTAGAAGAATGAGTTTACCATAAATTGGGATGTAGAGAGTTTTTATTTAGGCCAAAGTGTTTCATAAAATGGATTGATTTTATTTAGCGAGAAGTATTTTCATTTATGTTATTTTCTAAAAAATATAGTCTTTTTTCGATTGCCATAAATATATTCTTGGTTGTTTGTTCACTACTCATAATTAGACCTGGCAAAACTGACCCGGACCCGATAACCCGAACCGAATAACCCGGAACCGAACCCGATTTGACCCGAAAACTGAAGAACCGAAATAGAACCGAACACCCGAAATGATCCGAACCGAACCGAACCCGAACCGAATGTATTTAGACCCGATTCAGACCCGAATCCGATTAAACCCGAAAAGGTTAAACCCGAACCGATTAAACCCGAACCCGATTAAACCCAAACCCGGTTAAACCCGAACCCGGATAAACCCGGAACCGATTAGACCCGAAATTGATCAAATTCATTAATATTTCATTTATCAAATGAATTTGGAAAAAAAGAATTACCTATATATTTTTACATATGTTGATATGTTTCTAAAAAAACATATTTAAATTATGAGTGCAAACCATGTAACTACTTTGATGTACAAATCTTTTATTTTGTACTCCGTATTTTATAACCTAAGTTAAAATATATTTGTATTTTTATAGAAAGTATATAAAAAATTATAGTTACATTGTAATGCATATTTTATGTAAAGAATTATGTTACCAAAGTTGATTTTCTTTTTTTAATATGCCAATTAGCACACTATAAAAAATACTTGAGCATAAAAATGAAGAAAGGTGTCACAATCATGTGGTAAAAACTTATGATTATGTAAATGAATAAAACAAGCTAACTGACATTAACTAGTATAAGCTAAATAAAAGATTTCTTCTCCAAAAATTATGAATGAGTTAAAAAATATTGAACCATCTTAAAGAGATTTTTTTAAAACACAAATCTTGATTTTCGTGGATACACTATCCAACAAACAAAATACAGCATTCTAGTGACAATTTAGAACCAAATTGTTATCCAAATATTATTGATTCATTAGTTTGTGTTTACATTATATTTGAACTAATATAAATTTAAACCGATATAAACTCAAATCAATAAAAAGCCGAACTGATACAAACCCAAACCGATACAAACCCGAACTGATACAAACCCGAACCGATACAAACCCGAACCGATACAGACCCGAACCGATACAGACCCGAACCGATACAAACCCGAACCGATACAAACCCGAACCGATACAGACCCGAACCGATATAAACCCGAACCGAAACCGAACCGAACCTGAAAACCAGTCAAACCGAAATAAACCCGGAACCGAACTGACCCGACTCGAACCGACCCGAACCGATTATAACATATATCCGAAAGAGACCCGAACCGAAAAGACCCGACCCGGACCCGAACCGATTGACCCGATTGCCAGGTCTACTCATAATACATAAGGCTTTTTTTAAATAAAATTATAGGTACAACTCAAAAATTGGAACATAGGGAGTTAAATTTGTCCATTAAAGATTAAATTTGCAAATCAAATTGGGATGTAGGTAATTTTATTTTTCTTTATATGAAAGATGAAAATATTTCAAAATTACTTGTATTTCCCATGTGCTCAGTTCTCAATTTTTTTAGGTTTTTTAATGTTACATGAGAATTAAATATTATCGTCTAGGGAGAATATTTTCACATAAGCTCATTTAAATCAATTCATAAATAAATTTGTTAAACTAAATAATTATTTGTTTACAAATTAATTTGGGACGCAGTGAGTCTTTATTTGTCAAATTATAAATTAAAATGATTCAAAATGACTTTCATTTACCACGTGTTCAGTTCTCATGATTTTTTAGTTTTTTAACACTATAATTTATGAAACCTTATCACTTAGGAAGAAGTGTTTTCATTTAAGTTGACTTTAAAATTATTTAGTGTTTTTATGATTGCCAGAAATATCGCTTGGTTGTTTCCATTATTAAAAATAATTATTTTTTTTAAAAAAATAATATGTACAACTAAAAACTTGGGACATAGAAAGTTTTTTTCCTAAAAGAATGAGTTTACTAATCAAATTCGGACGTAGGGAGCTTTTATTTAGGCAGAAGTGTTCTATAAAGAATGAAATAATTTCATTAAGCAAAAAATGTTGTCATTTAACTTCATTTTAATTAGTCTTTTTTGGGTTACCATAAATCTAGATTGTTTTTATCTATTTCTCATAAAAGAGAAATTTTTTAAATAAAAATTATATGTACGAGTCAAGAATTGAGACGTAGGAAATGAAAATTAATCCATAGATGAATCATCTTAAAAATTAAAATGGGACGTGGGAAGTTTTAATTTGTTATATGAAAAATGAAAATTCTTTAAAATGACTTGTATAAAATAAATCCTATGGTTTTACACACTTTGAATAAATAATGATTTCTACCAAAGCATGTTTCCTTATGTTAGTATAACATTTTTTAAATTTTAGGGATGTCAACAACAAAAATAAGTAATCATATTAAGACAACAAGGTTGAATCGAGAAGCAAAGTGAAAGTTGTTGAAAATCACAACATTAGATACACAAGTTTCGGTCTGAATAAGTATAGGCCTTATGTGTTGCTAGATCAAAAAATATTTTAATCTTGTACATGAATTATTTTATAATCTTGCAATCATAGAGGGGCATACACTACTAATTATGTTCATTTAATGTATTTTTTAATATTAGGGAACTAAGGTTCTCGCGGTAGCAAATGGTGGATAAATGAGTGTTCTTTGAATGTCATATGATAAACAAACGGTAACTAATCATGTTTTTTTAAATAAGTATTTCTATGGCAAAGTAAATTTTAGAACATCATTATTAGAGACATAATTTTCTTATAATGAGTGGGTTAAAAAATATAGACTAGAAAATTAATAAGTCACATATAATTTTGTTCTTCATTGTATAAATTCGTGTCTTAAAAACTCATTATACTTTTAAACATTGCTTTTTTTGTATTACCAAGTCATACTTGGTAGTATCTAATTTAAAACTCTATTTTTGGTCTTCAAACATTATGCTCATGGTTCATCCATGATTATTTCAAAACTTTTAATCTTCCACAAAACACACAACTGAAAACACACTACTTCATTGTTGGGATTAGAAAAAAGTGTAAAATTTGAAACTACACTATGCTAACATCATTCACTCTAGCTAATACTTTATTTTATACAATGGGCATTATTGGGATATGTATGAAATCTAATATCAAAGTCCACACATACAAAAATCATGTCATTCATTAGATTACTTTATTATGAATTTGGAATATATCAACCATGTCAATCAACTTTAAATGTCTTATACACCTTAATGTTATTCCCAACATTTTTAGAATTATTGTTAAGTAAATTAAACCTTGATCGGGCACTACAATCCGCGCAACACGCGTAAATATGCTAGTATATATATATATATATATATATATGCATATATATATATATATAGATATATGAATATATATATATGCATATATATATATATATATATATATATATATATATTTTGGTTCTGGTGAGAATACAATCTTAGGAGAGAAATGAGAATGAATCTAGTGCTTTAGATTGTGAGATCTAAGGGTCAAGATTTCATCAAAATTAGATGCACCAAAATGGTGCGAAAATGCATCACGTTAAAATGCATCATAAACCTTCGAAAATGCACTATCTTAAAATCTGAGCGCAGGATGCAATCTGAGCCGCACAATGCATCAGATCCGACGGCTAGATTTTATTCTCATTTCTCTCCACAAGATGCATTCTCACGGGAACTGGCCCCTATATATATATATATATATATATATATATATATATATATATATATATATATATATATATATATATATATATATATATATATATATATATATATATATAACTTGTTTTTAATGTTTTTTTCATGTTATGACATTAAAAGAGATAGAAGTAGTGCAATTATGACTAGTCAAGTGGTCAACAATGATGAGTTGTTGCTATTATTAAGGAGTATTAAATATTTAATGTCAATTTCACTTTGCCAAAATGAATTTGTAAATGTTTGGCAATAGATATAATAGCTTCATTTTGAGTGGTACAAACTATGGTCTTTGAGGCGAGGCCTAGCAACAACTACCAATGGCTTAGCCATGGGCATGGTCATTCCATAGACCTCCCTAGTGTCAATGTCCTCCGGCCTCGACCCGTCCGGCGGGCCCCAGTCAAAGGCGTGGAAGAGTCGGGCCAATGCCATCAAGACGAGCGTGACGCCGAGTGGTGCCCCGGGGCACTTCCGCTTCCCCGCGCTGAACGGGAGGATCTTGAAGTCGGCCCCATGGCTTATTTCCACTCGCCCGCTTCCGTCTTCCGGCCGGAGCAAGTGCCGCTCCGGCCTGAACTCCTCCACGTCCCCGTCCCACACGCTCGGGTTCCGCCCCAGCCCGTGCGTGTTGATGAAGACGCGCGTCCGGGCCGGGATGTGGTACCCATTTATCGTGGTCGCCCGTGTGGACTCGTGCGGGATTAGAAACGGCCCCGCCGGGTGCGTCCGGAACGTCTCGCGCACCACGCACCGCAGGTAGTTCAGGTGGGCGAGGTCGTTTTCCGAGACCATCCGGTCGGGCCCCACCACGGCGTCGAGCTCTTCTTGGATCTTTTTTAGGATGCGTGGGCGCTTGATCACCTCCGCCATTGCCCACTCGTTGGTCACCGCTGATGTATCCGTTGCCGCGGCAATCATATCCTATACCATACCAAACTCTTTTTTTTATGGAATTTAAGAAAAATGAAATTATACAATGAAAGTTTATGCTAAAGATGGAGAAATAATGCATGTGAACAATATATTTTTCTTTCCCTTACTTGAATCAAAGCTTTAATTTCTATGTCATCCATGTGGTCTTTGCCATTTTCACCAGGCAAAGACAGCAAAACATCAACAAAATCCATCTGATCTCCTTCAACTTTCTTCTTCTTCTTGTGTTCTTCAAGAATTTTCATGTGAAAATCATCAATCCTTTTCTCAATTTCTCTCATTCTCTTCTCACACCCATATGGGTCAACCCATCTCCAAAATGGAAGATAATCTCCCAAATAGATCAACCCAAGAAGATGAAACAGCTCATGAGTGACATACATGAATTCCTTGGCTTCTTGGTGATGGCTATGGCTATGGCTTGAAGATTCATCACCATTAATTTTTGTACTCCCAAAGAATTGTTTTCCTAGCAACATTCTTGTCACATTGTTCATGGAGAATGCCCCCAACACCTCTCTCAAGTTCACGGTCCCGCCGTTCGTCTGTTTCGCCACCGCTGCCGTAGTCATTCGCCACACATCGTGCACGAGGTGTTGCGCTTCCTCGGCGCGATGTCTGGCGAACGAATCGAGGCGCTTCGTCGTGAGCAAGTGCTCCATGCAGACCCTCCGCATCCGCTTCCACTTCGGGCCGAGCGGGGCGAGGGCGATGTCCCCGCACCCGTAGGCCAGGTGGACGGCCGCGAGGGTCCTCGGGCGGGACGCAAAGATGTCGTCCTGCTGGACGAGTATTTCGCGGATGACGTCCGGATCGTTGGTCGTGATGGCATCGACGCTACCGAGGCGCAGGTAGACCAACGGCCCGTAATTCTCGCAAAACGAAGCGAAGTCGCGGTGGGGGAGCCGTCCGAGCTGAAGAAGGTTGCCGACGATGGGCCACCGCGGCGGCCCCGGCGGGAGCCTCTTGTAGTTCCCTTTTGATGTTTTTGAAGGGAACAATTGAATGATCTTGAATATGAGGGGTAGAGACAACAATAGTGATGCTAAGGTAATATAATCAACCATTTTCCTTACCTATGAGAAATAAAAGTAAGAATATATTTGGAATGAGGTGTCAATTTCTTTGGTCATTGAATTGTTTTATTCTATGATGGTAAGAATTCAATTAAGTTTTTTTTAAATAAGAGTATGGGTAATGCATAATCTTGGCATGAGCACTTTATTAGTTACCTAAAGTAGATGAGAACATATTATTCTCATGGTTTTTTTCTCTAAAATAGAAAGTTCATCTTATTTTCATGTCCAACCCTCTATCATATATGGAGTACTCATTAATTCAGAATTTGTTCAACTAACATCTCCTCTCATGGAGTTTTATTTAGGACTTTATCTTAAAAGAATAGACATATAGTCCAGCAATACTCATTTTTGGTTAAAAATTACTTCTATTTTGTTACCAATAACACTTACAATTTGTTTTTTAAATGGAATCGCAAAAAAAAACATGTATTTTTTATACACACAAGTCATATAATGCCTATTGAATGTACAAGATAGTAGATATATCTAGATGTACAATATAATTAACGCATAACATTTTTTCTCGTCTAAATAAATTTCATTCACATTTTTTTCACTTTTTCAACGCTCAATGTCCGCCATGCCCCATTTAAAAAAAAGAAAAAAAAGAAATAATAGAGTATACACTTCTGACGTATTAAAAGAAACTGGTATCGCGATACAAATTTGTAATCTCAAAATGTAACTTAAGAAAAGAAAAAACTATTCAATAATCAAACAAGACTGCTGCTTATTTTTTCTGACTAAAAAATAATAATTTCAAAGAAGTTACAGAACACAAATTATATAAGTTGTAGTTCAAAACTTGTAGTAGTAACAAATTAGACAACTCACACAAGACGGAAAGGCCGGCCTTTGCCACCACTTACCTCACACCATGACAACTATGCGTTCGAATTCGATCAACGATAAATTATTATCTGTCTGCACAGAAAAATCCGCATCTGTCGTGACTTCAACACGGCCAAAACGATCAAGCGCAAGCCTCATTGATCCCTTGAAAAGGTCAACTCTGGCATTTGTGAGCAGCACGGTAGTACCCTCTCTCATTATGTCCACTGTTACAAGGACAAAAACGTAAAAACGTCACTTAAGGATGAGATATATATTACACATAATTAGATCCCATTTCACCGAGCGAATATGTTTTGAGTATAGTCATTGTTGAATACTTGGTAAGTGTCACTGAGAATGAAAATGCTACTTTAACCCCAGTGATGACGCCAAGTTTGACACCAACAGATGATTGTGTGTCTATGAGACACTGTTATAGACACTGGTGGTGTCAACCTAGGTGTCATCCGCGCGGGATGTGACTGTAGCTTGACGCAACTGAGAAAAACAGGTCAAATGTGTTCTTTTTTAAGCCATGAGTAAGTTTCGTGTCATAGAATAGTTGAAACACAAGAAAAAATAAACTAGGGTGCATGGGTTTGGATTCTCCTTTTAGCAGATTCAGATTCTCAGAATGAGCCAAAATCAACTGACTAATTTCTCGTTTGCTGAATCTGAAGAACGAAACAGTTGATTGCTTGCTTGTGAAAAGCTGGTGAGAAAAATGATTAACTAATTCTAGCCAAATTTGAAACAAACACAGCACCAAGCACTTCAAAAGTTAGTTTTTGGCATATATTACAATGAAGATTTGTTTTAATACAAAAAAAACCCCTACAAATATGTCGATTCAAAAGAAACACCTTTATTTAATAATAATAAAAAGACCGCCGTTAATATATTTAAAAAACGATAAGGTAATAGCTTTTATTATAATTTTTGTTTTAAGAACATATGAAATAATCCTTAAAGAAAACATCTTCTAAAAAATCCATTACATAAAAAATAATGCACACCTTGTTAATCGTAATGAAGTACAACTATTAGATATAATCAATACAACTATATTTTAAAGTGTGCTTGCTAGTTTAACTAAACCTAACACACTCAACTGAAGAAAAATCAGAGCATCTGTAGAAATTCTTTATGGGGACCAAAGTCATGCTTAGGAGATTTATGGACATGGAAGTCAGGTGTGTGTTTGTGTAATAATGCAAATGAAGATAAGTCGCATCTATTCTTTTCTTGTCCCTTAACTAATGCCATTCATACTATCAGTTTTACATGGTTAAAGCAGGCGAGAAATGAGCAGGAACTGAAGACTGAGATTATGCATGCTAAGGGTAGGATGGTAAAGAGTACACTAATTGCTGCTTTTGCAGCAAATTGTTATGCTGTGTGGAGAGCCAGGAACTTGCAGATCCATCAGGATAAGGTGCTAACCATTAAGGAGAATGTTGACTGGAACAAATTTACTCTTAAAAATTTTGTTAATTCCAAGACAAAGAAAATGTATCTGGTCTGATATTTTTATGTAGTGTGTATTTAATAGTCTGTGTTTGGCTTTCATTGTTTGTATTTGGGCACTGTTCCTCGTTAATATTTGGTTTAAAAAACTGGATTGTGATTCTTTTTCTAACACTTTTTTTTACATATAATGGAAGTTAATTTGTATTATTCAAATTAGACTCCTTTGGACAAAAAATAAGTTCAGAGAAATAACTCTCTATACGCGACGGAGAGAGTATACACTTTATAGAATTATAGTTTTACCCTAAGCTTTCTTATTTAAATTCAAATGTATTCTTTAAATCTGGTTGATAATAAAGAATCCATTATGTATTTTCATAAAAAATTAAAAAAGCAGTAAAACTTTACCGTTCCCCTCCCCCCCTGTTTTATACCCCAAAAAATTGCATTATGTATATAAAATAGTACTGCAGACTCTTCTGAGTTTTATCCCCAAGTTTCAGATGTGCTTTTGATCAAGCACTCAAAAGAATCCATTACGTATAAAAGTTATTACTGCAAAGAAACTTCAGAGTTTTACCCCCCAAGTTTCAGATGTGCTTTTGACCATGCACGCATTTCACTGTGAAGATAAAATCATATACTCCATCCATACCACTATGGAATAATTATTATAGAGCTTTGAACTTTCGCGTTATTTTCTATGCTTTTCTATATTTTAGACGATTGGGAGCAATAAATAATCATCTCATTACTCTGAAGAAAAATAAAATACAACTATTAAGGGTTAAATTCTTCATTGAGCATATAAGAGAAAATATACCATAAAATCAAGCTGGTGTCAAAAACTTCTACCTAATACACCATAATTTCCAAACAACAGTCAATTATAAGATAACAAAGTTTGAAGAGTCACAAAAAGCTCTCTTCGGAACAGTGTTTGGCATGCCTTGTACATGGAGAAGTGCATATTTTAGCTCAAAAGCACAAGTTTTTGACAAAATAGATGGTTGACTTGTTTTTTATAAACATCGAGAACCCAAATTTTAACAGCATTTTGAGAGAAGCGTATCAAATTATGAACTCCCTTTTGAATCTCTCCTTCTAAAGACTTCACTCATATAAGTTAAACTATACACACTCTAAACATTTCACGAGTTCACGTAAGACAGTGTGAAATCCCCTATAAATACCTCTAACCTCAATCAATTACCCTTAGCATAGCATTTTGATGTAAGGAGTAACTAACATAATGAACTAACCTTGATCATTTCTAGCCGTGAAGACAACAATTCCACTCTCATCTCCCACCAAACATTCAGCAACACGGCCCTGTGCCCTGCCGCTTTGGCCAATCAGCTTTGAACTCACAACCTTAACTTTTAGGCTAAGCCCGAAAGTCGAAGGGCGAAGCTGGTTGACCTTGGTCAAATCTGCCTGCTTCTTTTGTTCTGCCATTTTCTCTTTCTACCTGTAACAACTCAACCAAATCGGCCTTCACAAATTGAAAGGAGAAGTTACAAACTCTAGCACACACAAAAAAACAATGCGCTTCTCCCTATGTGGGTATGTCCCATAAGAAAGTCATGTTTCTAAATTTATACTCCCTATATCCCAAAACTAAAGTATGATGGTTTACTGAATCTATTTTCAATTTAATTTATTTAAATAATAGGTTTGTCCAGATTCACTTTTTGTAGTCAAACTAGACAAACTTTGGTTATCAATTAAATAAAAATTACATTGCTTTTTAGTGAAAAAACTTATTAGATTTATATTGTACCCCGTTTTATATTTTCAAACAAATTTTGAGAGAAATTATCTTAATTTATTAATATACAATGTACTCCGTAATATTAATTTAATTGATGATTAAAGTTTGCCTTGTTTGAGTGCAACAGAGGGAGTAGTACAGAATTACACGAGTAAAAAGAAATTACGGAATATATATTTAAAAACTAAATCAAACACTATGAAACACGAGGTGTCATGTTATTTTAACAAATGATTAGCCAAAATAAATAGAAAAATAACAAAAATTGACACTTAAGCTTTGGGACAAATTGTTCCAAAAACATAGTCAAATTTGAACAAAAATAAGCTAATGTTCATTATATTTAATGTTTATATATATAAAAAAAAAAGAGTTTCCAGACAATCTAGTCTTAAAATCAGTTAAGCTGATGATTCCCCAGAGTTGTAACTATATCTGTGGAATTTTATACATAGGGAGTGCTACTTGAAGGGGAAATAACGTATGAAGATTGGATGGTGAACATCATAAAATTCAAGTTTTTTCTCTTTTTTTCCCAGTTTTCTGCTTGAAATCCGATCTCATCATACAAAGGATAACGAATTCAAATCCAAGATCCAGCATTTCTCTGACGATCTACAATCTCTTTTTACAATCAAGTAAAGCGATTCAATTGATACCAGAAACGTAGATCGCAAACCAACTAAACCTCCAAATACAGAAGATCATTTAGATTGATTCCAAAAGAAAAATCGAATTGATCAAAAACAACGAGACAAAAAAAAAGTACCTGAATCGAATTGATCAGAAATTTTGTGAATTTTTTTCACGAAGCAGCGCGGATCGTGCTGGGAGGAATGGAACTGGAATGAGATAATTTGGTGGAGTAGCCGATTGCTGCCTAAGGTTGAAAAAACTCAAACCACAGTAATGGTGAATAATTCCTCCCTTACTAACATTAAATTTTTTACAAAAAAAAGTCAAGCCATTTTAAACATATGAAAACTTTAGGAATATAACAACAATATATCCCATAAATTAATGTAGGTCTCG